ATCAGACAAGAGAAAATAGAAAATAGATTGTCAAACGATGCAGATTTCTAATGTAACAATCACTCGAGTATGTCGAACGAGATAATTTATAACAAGAAAGCCATTCGGAAGTGAAAAGCAGTCATGAAAGCACGGCAATGCCCCTAATAGCATCAGCATTAGAATGGATTGGTGTAGGATGGCAATTTTAAAAATTTCAAGGAATCCTGGTCATAAAATGTGGGACGGATGACAGAAGGATGAACACCATGAGAGTGTTTCGAAATTCAGCAATTCTTTCAAATGGCTACGGGGAAAACATTTGGGAAAAAAACCATTTCATTCTTCAAAACAATACTGACATGACAAACTACACATAAGTTTTAGAGATAACAAATCTGACAGAAGAAAACATGAAATGGTCGCAGCTAAAACAAACGAGTAACTATCTGAAGCACAGTAATCATCATCACAAACGAACAAAAATATACAGTTGCGTTTCGCAAACTATTACATATATGCATGATATGCAATAAAACCCGATGACACAAGCAATTGCTGCTCAAAAAACATGAGAAGATAATGTGAGCGAGTTCGGATACACTCGCAAGCAGCAAAATAAGTGAAATTCACTGAAACTGTCGAATTATGATAATCGATAGAAATATCGATATGACCTCGCAGCAGTACCATTGCGTTTTCACTATTCCTGGAAGAAATAGTTTTTTGCACAAAATCGTACGAATCGCATGATTCTCACAAAACAGTGTAATCGGATATCTGGTTCATTAAAACGAACCATCATTTCATTGGGAATCTTTTCTATATGACAGCTGAAAGCTCCTATAGCGATCAAAAAAACGATCATTTTCATTGATAATTATCGACATTCGTAGATGAACCGCTTCGTATAATAGTTGATAGAAGAGACTTGAGAAAGGCTCAATTGCGAAAAAGACAAACCTCGACTTGCTGCCGAGTCCACATATTCCACTTCAAAGTCGTTCTCATCACCATTGCCTTTAAGCGCAGTTGCCCTGGCCATTCCATCGCCACGTCTTGAATCACCTTCAAGATAACCTCGTACATCGGATCTTTCAAACAGTCTGAACGGTTCATCTTGAGCATCGAAACGATCGCTGCCCGCAGCATCACTTCTGCCTGCATCACGCGTTAGCGCCGGATCGGAACGATGTTGAACTATGACGCGTGGACGATGATGGGAATAGTCGGCAGATGCATCGTTGATGACACCTGAAACAGTTGCTTCATCAGTGGAATGCATGGCTGTGGTACGTTTCATTAGTGAAAAATGCCGAAATTTTTGGCGAATCCAGGTGGATGGAGAACAATAAATGATTAACTATATGCTGAACTGAACAATGAACGCAACTGAACCTGTTTGATCCAAAATGCGCGCATTGCCGAGGAGACTGGTCTGAAGACGGCCGTTCGGAATGTACAAATGTTGAGGCAATCGCAAGTGTTTCCCATCGTCACTTTCCAAATCCGCATTCGAAGCGCTCACCTCAAATTCCAGAACATGAACCATTACAGGTAAAAATATCGGTTAAATGCTGACAAACACAGCAACTTCTATCCTTCATAAAGTCCTCTGTTCAAAACATCAAAGTAATTCTTCACATCATTATGAATCATTCGCGCTATGTACAAATTCGTTGAATCCAATAGTTGCCTCAAACGTTCATAATAAAAAGCACTTACTGGAACGTACATAACT